CAGTCATCTTGCCAGTCCAAGGTTTTTTTCTACAAGTTTGGTCCCTTCTCATGTGCCGCAGTTTTGCTGGCGCAATCACCAGTTCCCTGCAGTGCCCAGTCTGGCTGCCATGTGGATTTCTAAGGGCTTCCTCTTCAAGTTTCGGCTCCTTCTCATGATCTGCAGTTTCGCATGCGCCATCCCTGGTCCCTGGACTTCCTGGCGTTCCTCGGCGCCGTCAATGTCTTCCACCCCGGGTTTGTGGCCCTGGTGCTTGGGCACTCGGCGTTCCCGCGCCGGCCCATGCGGTCTGAGCGGGCCCCTCCTTTTCTTTTCTTGCGATCTGTGCTTTGTCGCTTTCGTGCCCCAATTCGCCTCCGTTGCGCCCCGCCGTTTGTTCTCTTCGGCGATTGGCCATCTTGCAACACCTGGAGTCCGCGGATTAAACAGGTTCTCCCCGGTGAAGTCTAGGTCTTGAACCAAAATGGCTTCGGGGGATGAGGAGGAGGAGGAGGAGGAGGAGGAGGAGGAGGAGTAGGAGGAGGAGGAAGGAGGAGGAGGAGGAGGAGGAGGAGTAGGAGGAGGAGGAGGAAGAGGAGGAGGGAGGAGGAGGAGGAGGAGGAGGAGGAGGAGGAGGAAGGGAAGGAGGAGGAGGAGGAGGAGGAGGAGGAGGAGGAAGAGGACTACAACAACTACTACTGCTACTACTACTACTACCACTACTACTAATAATGATATTAATAATAGAAGTACTCGTAATATTATTACTAATAATGATACGAATACTAACAATAGTACTATACATAATAATCATAATACGAATAACATGAGGAATCATAAGAAGGATCATACCCATAAAACAAATAGTAATAAGACGCATAAGGATAATAAGAAACATAATACGACTAATCATAATAATAATAAGGAGGAGGAGGAGGGTGGCGTGGAGATGGAGACGAGGAGGACGACATATAAGAAACATGGGCGGAACATTAAACATAATACGAATGGTACGAGTCATATTTATAAGAATATCGAACCATATTCATATTATAAGATCAGCCAGCGTAATGGACGACTCAAATCAAGGACGACTCAAATCAAGGAACCATAATAATCAAGCATGCTTGGGGTCCGCAACTCAGCAAGCAATCGAGCGTGCAAGCAAGCGCGCAAGCAAGCGTGCACGCAAGCAAATAAGCAAGCAAGCGTGCAAGCAAGCAAGCGCGCAAGCAAGCGCGCAAGCAAGCAGGCAGGCAGGCAGGCAGGCGGCAAGCAAGCAAGCAAGCAGGCATAGGCATGGGCGTAGGCATAGGAGTTAGTGGGAAGCATAGGCATAAACATAGGCATCGCCACAGGGATTATAGGGGGGAGAATAGGGATTAGGGGGGGGAACGGACACATTAGTAGGTTTGATCTAGGACTTTTATAGGGCAAGCCTATTTTGATAATATCAGCCAGCGTTGACTCAAAATAGATTAGAGGACTCAAATCAAGGAACCAGAGGGATCAAGCATGCTTGGAATCCGCAACCCAGCAAGCAAGCACACGTGCAAGCAAGCGCGCAAGCAAGCAAGCGGGCAATCAAGCAAGCGGGCAAGCAAGCAAGCGTGCAAGCGATCAGCCAGGTAAGCAAGGCAAGGAAGGCACGCAAGCAAGCAAGCAAGCACGCATAGGCATAGGCGTAGGCATAGGAGTTAGGGGGGAGGCATAGGCATAGGCATAGGCACAGCCATAGGAATCAGAGGGGGGCAACGGACCAATTTGTAGGGCTTGAGCCAGGACAGCTATAAGGTGAGCCTATTTGGAGACATATTCATAAACATATCAGCCATCGTTGACACCAAATAGATTAGCGGACTCAAATCAAGGAATCAGAGAAAGCAAGAATGCAAGCAAGCAAGCAAGTGCGCAGGCAAGCAAGCACGAGGGCAAACGCGCAAGCAAGCAAGCAAGCAAGCAAGCAATCAAACAAGCAAGCACACAGGCATAGGCATAGCCGTAGGCATACGAGCTATGGGGGGATGCACATGCATAGGCATAGGCATAGGCATAGGCATAGGCATAGCCATAGGAATTTGGGTGGGGGGGCATCGGAATTAGGGGGGAACGGACACATAGTAGGGTGTGTATTAGGACTCATATAGGGCAATCCTATTTGGACAATATTCCTATTCTTGTTAAGAATAATTCTTATAGTAATACTGGTTGTAAGAAGAGGAAAACGAATGTTCACATTACTAATACTGGTGCGATTGATAAACCGCACGACCCATAACAATCATGCGGCTCGTAATCATAATTCCAACACTGTTTTTAATTATGTGTGTACGAGAAGTATCACGATTACAAAACGTACTAGTCATACGGGTAGTAATGCTAACACGATTATCAATACTAACAGTAGCACGAATAAACATAACACGAATAACTAGACATACCAAGGTGCACATGAAGTGTAACGGTAATGTTATATTAATGACAGTGCTATTCATACCAAGCATACTAACACATGTGGCGAATATTACCAATAATGACGAGCAACACATACTGCGAAACAAATTTTCAGAGTAAGAACCGTGGCACTGATATTGAGGATGCTGGTGATCATATTAATCAGTTCCATTAAGAATATTGACACCTATACGGGTACCCCAAATGCGAAAGGTAATGGTGCTGCCATTCAGTGCACGCATACTTCCAGTACGGGTAATACAACTTACAATATTTGAGATTCCTAGCACCATTAGCTATTCTTAATAATAGTAACAGTGATGCTGATAATCATACAACTAAAAAACCATCATACTATCAAATATTTGATTGGTAAGGGTATTCGTAGTAACGTTACTTGTACTAGTATTCATTTCATAGTATTATGATAGTTCGCCAGCCAATAACAGTAATAGTAGTCATCGTAATGATAGGTTATAGTAGTAATGGTAATCGTAATAACAATACTATTCATAGGCATACCAGTAGCCATGATGATGACTAGTATTATGGTAATGTTCTCACACGGATATTCATACGATTAACAGCAAACACACGGGTAATAACGATAATAGGGGGAGAAGGAGGAAAAGGAGGAGGAGGAGAAAGGCAAGACACATATTCATACCACTAATAATAGCTATACCAATGAAAAATAAATAATACCAGTAAGAATCGTCACACGGAGCGAACAGAAAAAAAACAGTAGTAATGATGATACTAAGAAGAACAAAGCATTATTAGTTCTGGTAGTACGGGAAAGAAACATACCGCCAAAACTAATGGGAACACGATTGCGAGTAATAGTGCGACTAATTTTAAGAACAAGAAAGCATAAGCGACACAATAATAATAAACTAGTAAGAGAGCGAAGAGCAGCGATACGACTTATAGTATTTACATGAAGAAAAATATCAATACGCAGTAGAAGAACGCTAGGAACCAACGCAGAAGCATAATACGAATACGACGAATAATAATACCACCCATAATACTGATGACAAGGAGGAGGAATCACAAACACTAATAATACATTAAAAAATACGTACTCGCATGCATAAGACCCATAATACTAATTCTAATAAAAGGAGGAGGAGGAGGCGAGGAGGAGGATTAATAATCAAATGATGGATATCAATAGTAATATTACGGAACATATGAAGTATAACAATGGTATCAGTACTAAGAAGAGTATTAATCATAATAATTGTTATTGATACTAATACTAATACTCATCACGATACGAATGGTAACCAACAACAAAAAGGTGAGTACGAAGGAAAATATTGCCCAGCGACCGAATGGCACGCGCATGCCGTTAACGTTGAGGGTGCCCCGACGCAATCGGTTGAGGACGGCGCTTCCGCGTGCGCACGCTTTCTTAATCCCGATGGCGTCCTGGTCACCGACGCCCTTGGCTTGCACTCGGTGCCGTCTTCGAGGTCCGCGCGCACCCCGCGCTGCGCTCGGAGCCGCGCCCACGTGCCCGACATCCGGCACGGCAAACAGCACCGCCGCCAGGGCGCTGCCAAACAATCACCCTCGCGAAGCTGCGCCCCTGCGGCGCAGCTCATGGTGCCTTCTCCTGGCTGGCATGGTGCTTTTGTGTAGTTCTCGTTGTTTTCCCTGCGCGCGCTCGCTCTAGCGTAGCCGCCCAAACGCTACGTCGTGTGGCATTCGTCTCGGTTGCAGCCCATTTTAGCTCTCGCTGTGGTGGCGTCACTCGGCCGCGGGAGGGAAAGGGTTGCTCATGTTGCCGCTGACATGTGTTCCACTGCCTCCTTGGATCCGCGGATGAGCCGCCCGCGGCAAGGCGCTGGGCTTACCGCGCCCGCTGCTCACACGGCTGCGGTTGCGACGCGTGTGTGGGCTCGCCGCAGCCACTTCCCACGATTCCGACCAGGAGCGTGTGCTACTATGCCGGCGTGGAATCTGTGTGATCCGAGCGCCCCGCCTGCTCGCAGTTCCTCCTCCGCGGCCGCCGTCGTCTTCCCCCCTCTTTAGTGTACATTTTGCGATTTTGCAACTCAGTCTCGGCTCTCCCGTGCCTTGCGTTCGGTGGCGCCGCCGCCAACAATAACAGGGCTCGCCGCGTTCGCCGCTTTCGGCAGTATTGTCCCCGCGATGCTCATTGCTTTGCCTGCTGTTGTTTTGTCGCTGCTTTCCTGGCGGACGCGGCCTTCGGCCTTCCCCACTAGGCTCACGACTGAACGCGCCATTGTTCGGCTCCGATCGATCCTTGGCCGACGTTTTCCGCCTCGCTCGTCTTCCTCGTCATCCTCCTCTTCCTTCTCCTTTTTCCTTTGCTTCTTCTGTCAATCGCAGCCCCGAACTTCTCGTTGCCCAGAGAATTTTGTCGCTTGTATGCTCTTCCGCCTCATCCTCCCTCCGCCCCCGTTCTCATCCGCTATCTCCTTCTCCTCCTCCTCCTCCTCCTCCTCCTCCTCTTGCGTCCCCCTCCTCTTCCTCCTTCTCCTGTTGCTGTTCCTCCTCTTTTGCCCTCCCCCTGTCCGCTCCGCCGCCGCGAG